CTCTCTATGAATGCCATATCTATAATAATTTATGAACACATTCATAATACATTATAATGCATTGATAGAGCATTATAAACATGGCTATAAATATTTATAAAAAGGCATAACACATTATAGGCATGTTTATTATGCATTATGAATGCTTTATGAAGCTCTCATCTATAATGTACTATAGATACCTATTCAATGTAAGCATCCTTTTAAAGCATCCTTAATTCTTATACCAACCATTATAATGCATTATGAAGATATCTATTGTGCACTATACAATAGATATCATAGCTTTATTGGTGCTAATGAAATATTATAATCAACACTATAATGTCTTACGACTGTCAGTAGAAAATGCTGTATTGCGTTATTAATTCTTATACTGACCGTTATAATGCATTATAGATGACAGATTCAAATAAAGAATTTAGTCTTGCAACCATCGCTGTTCCTGGACACCAGGAGCAGCAGCGTAGGGTAGGAGTTTAGACACTGACAGAAGTGATCTCCTGTAGAAATAAGGACAGAACAGTGAGCCAAGCATCCCATCTAGATGTTCCCTCCCTGTATGGCAGATGGAGAGACAGTCAGCATACTTCTGTGTTTAATGGAGAAGAGACTCCAATGGAGAAGAGACTGGTGGGAAGGTGCCGTTCCTCTCTTTCGGACAGTGGGCTGCTTTGTATATCTACCTGTTCCTAATAGCACACTTGGCTGCTGTTGAATAAATTATAACAAAGAAATTTTACGTGTTTTCACACCTCCGGGATTGCAAGTGTGAATCTGGCCCCGTCTCTGCCTTTGCATTTTACTGAAATGCCCTCCGCATTTATAATACTGTTCTTCTGCAGGCTGTTGTTTTAACTGGGTAACACTAAATTGCCTTTATTGTGTCAGTGCCTTTCAGTATAGCGATTACCAATCCAAGGTGTACTCTGCCTACTGCTCTTTACTTTCTAGGAGGGGAGCAAAATCGAGTTATCATGGAGAATATAGAGATAATTCCTTAATATTTTTGGATGTCATTCTGCAATGTAGAATGATGTGGAGTTCCGGCTCCCTTCTGTCACCATTCTCAGTGCTCATTATCACAGGAAGATCTGGCTGCGATGGGCGAGCAGAGCCGCACTTCTGCTATTCAGCATATCTGTGGCGGCAGACAGCACGGGGCAGAGCACATTGCGGGCTCTGCCGCTCAGAACCAAACAGAAGCACCGCGACAAAGAAACCCAGAAGGCAAGCCAGATAATGCGTCAAATCCTCCTATTATATTGAGTTTCCGTGGTGATCGATGAGGCTGATTAATAGTGGTCCACGCAAGGTGGAGATATGATTTATGCCTACCATGGACTCACACTATGAAATATTTTCTTTTTTTTTTCGCCTTCACCATGCTGCAGGGAGGAGAGGCCACGGCGTGTGAATGATGGCTGTCCAGTTTGAGGTTCGGGGGGCGGGGTGGGGGAGGGAGGGCAGCTGCAGCTGACAGCTCTGCCTGTACATACCGGGGTTTGCATTTGTCTCCGCAGCTCGCTACCATGTACCCGGCTCTGCGGCCAACAAGCTGTCAAATGCTCGGCAGTCAGCTAGCAGCCACGGGGGGCTGCCCTCTGTGCAACATTGCTGCAGAGCTGCGAGCAACTTGTTCCAGCCTCCAGGGGGCGCTTATCCTGCGGGATCGGGGCTCAGGGGGAAAGCGGAGTGATGCAGCTCATGGCGCTGGGCCGGAATGGTGGGAACGGCACTGAAACACCAGTAAGGCCAGTGCTGGAGCTTAGTGAAACAAGCAGGACACCTGCCTGAGGTGGAACCGCTACAGATGCCTGCGGATCAGCAGGTTTTTGAACGGATGGGGTCAGTTAATTGCCAAGGTTGCCTCGGAGATGCGACAAAAGGGACAGGGTGCTGTCGACGAGTTTTTGCCAAAGGTTAATAGAAGTAGGTAATCAAGCCTTGGGTGGAGGTACTCCCCAGCTCGAGGTCGCCGCCCTGCAGTCCGGACCAGCTGTCCATCCCAGAAATGAACCCCAACCCCTGTGGAAGGAAAGGGTGACAGGGACCAAACGTGTTGCACGTTACAGCAATGACACAAAAATAAACAACAGGAAGGCTCCATCCAGGGCGAAGTGCAAAGGAAAAACACCCAAGTACGTGCGTGTACGTGTGTGTATGTCTACACATGCGAATGCCCCTCTTTCAGAGAGCCGAAAGGCAGCAAGACGTCGATTCGATAATGTGATTTAATGATGCAAAACAAATTCACGGGATGTCTGGGTGAAGCCTGTTTTTGGAATCGAGCTCCAGATCATCCATTTGTTTAACGCTTCCCATTGTGTTCTCTTTGTTACGGTTATTGACTCGTTGAGAGCTGGCAATGAATTGCTTCTTTGTTTCACATGCAGAGAGGAACACATGAGAAAATGCTTGTTGCTGACTACTGGGTATTCTAATTGGTTAGGGGTGACCACTATTTATAATTTACAGGAGTAAACAAAGTGAGCCTTTTTTAAATGACATTCGTGACAGGATCCCCCAGAGGATTGTGACCTCATCAGGCACACGGGCCACGGCCTGGCCATGAGAGGGGCTTCCGTGTGTCTCAGCACTGGAGGAAAGGCTGGGCGTGGAGGTCAGAGGAAGTACATGAGTGAGCTGTGCGAGCCGGATGAGGAAGAGGCCAGTCAGGTGGAAATGGGGTCCTCGCTGCCCCATTGTTTGCGGGAGAAGTGGAGATTGGGGGAGGGGCAATGACCCTCAGGAAGAGTGTGAACAGGATGCAGTGTTTGGGGGAAAGAGCACCGTAAGCAAGAAAAAACCCAGTGGATGGCCCTTACAAAGAGCTTCTTTATCAAATTATCACCAAGAGGACCAATGGAGCCCACAGGAACCCACACCATGTTAGCGCCAAATGCTACTGTAACCACATCCTGTAAAATAAACATGGCGGGGAGCCCCCCCCTGCTGGAGTGCTTAGGCTCCGCTCTGACGTCCATCCTTCCCCACCAGTGTCACGCATGGCTACGTTTCTCCTTGTTTGGGTTCCTCCACTCCGACGTGCAAACTGCTCAACACACCGCACATCCTTGGCAATCCCCCCCCTCCTCATATATTCACTGGCTTTATGACTCACTTTCATTCTGGTCCGGACATTTTTCACAGCTAACAAAAGCCAGTGCTTTTATCGCATTCAGCTTGACATGACAACCAGAAGAACTTAAATACCAAGTACATTCAAGTACAGGAAGAAACGTTTCTACTTTGTTTGCAGCTCTTCCCCACTCCAGTGTCTATCAAAGGCTGGTAGGTACAATAAAATAAAGGCGGCAATCCCACCGTGTGGCGCAGTCGCCAAGACCTGGCTTACCTGCGGCAGTTTGAGATCTTCCGGCGGCCACAGACCACGGGTCCCGAGCCAAAGCACGCTCCCGCCATCATCTGCTTCCGGCTCCTTAGCCATGCCCTTGGCACGTGGCCTGAGAAGACTGGGCACACAGGGAAGCATTCCCTGTCTAGCATATGCAGAGGTGGACTGAAGCAAAAAGGCTTAAATGGGATCAAAACCAAAGTCCAACACTGAACCCAGAAAACAAACATACCGACATGGATCGTCCAAAAACAGCTTCACAGGGCGGAGTTTCAGGTTTTTTTTTTAGAGAACAACCTATCTGACACTCCCAAAATCTTAAATCATTGTAAAATACTTAAATTGTCACGTGAAATCAGTAGTTCAGAAAAAGTATTTAAAAGTAATTTAGGATGATAGATTAAGTTTCTCCAGAACCATATGAATCAGCAGAAAACCAAACATTTAACTTTTCAGAATACATACAGGTACATCATATACACTGATAAAACCCACCGTGGACTCGGTCCTTCTTCTTCATGTTTAGTTCTGTACTTCCTCTTGTAAAAAAGCTAATTCATAATTGATAGATTCCTCTGCCACCCCATCATCTCACAAACACATTTTTTTGCTTTTCTTTTGTTCCTTCTATCAAACACCACCACCGAAAAACCATAGAGACACTGCCATCTTCTGGACATGCGTGATATTAGAATTAGAATTTGGTGATCAGTGGTCATTGTCAACACACCACAGCACACAGTGCGCAACAATGAAATGTGACCTCTGCATTTGACCCATATGTGACTTTCGTGACATAGCAGGGGGCAGCTAATTCAGCACCCGGGGAGCAGTGCTTGGGGCCGGTACCTTGCTCAGGGTACCTCAGTGGTGACTTGTAATCAACCAATACAGTCACAGAGAAAATTTCACAGGAAAATATTATGTATAAAAAAAAAAAAACTAAAAAAAAAAACTGGAGTAATATTATTTCAAGATTTTGAAGAGGAAAAACTATTCAAACAAAAGAGAACAATTGTGCTTATGCTCAGTCTCAACCAAATTTTTATAATTCTTAAACATTATCCTGAAGCAAATTCAAAACACAATTTCAGGACAACATGGAGCAAAATATCATTATCCTAATATGACATCACTAACTAAACCCCACATGTCCATCCTACTAATCTTCGGTCTCAACCTCCTGAGTTTATCATGGGAAAAAAATCCTTTCCTTAAATTCCAAGGATAAGTCTGACATCTACTGGCACATTGTCAGTGGAACAGCGGCACAAGTTTCTGCACAATAACAGAGAAAAGGTCATGTGGCTCATTAGCAATTAAACTCATTAACAGTTAAATATTAGGAGGACACCATATCCACAGAGAGTGCTAAGTGACTCACTAGCAGTTCAGCTAAAACACATCTTCCGGGCTCTTATACCACTAAAACCCACCTTCTATTCAGCAGAGACACTAAAAATTTACTGTATTTCTGTATTGGTTAATATTTAAAAATGCAAAGTATATAAGCATGGAGATGCCAGTAAAAGCAACCTATGAAGTACTATATCTGTTTTCCATATGGACAAGAGACTTAAATCAATCAGAATGAAATCATTGTTCCACGTGGGTTGTTGTCATAAATTGGACAAGGGACACATTTGTGAGGTGTTCACTTTATTCCAAGTTCCAGCGATTGAACAAGAAAAAAAAATAAGTGGAATGGAAAATGGACATTTACAATAAAGTGTTCTTGGGTTTTAAAGACAAATTGTGAATAGACACCATCGTACTCGCATTCAGTATTTAACCGAACCTTTAAACTTTTAATTCGTAGAATTAAAATAAAGGAATCACTCAAAAAAAAATTTTTTTTACATTTTACATAATATTTTTATTCTAAGAGATACCAAGACAAAGCCTCAATTTTTTTTTGTTGTTTTTTTTATAGGAAATTTACCATGTGTACAACTAGAAATATAAACTAATGGGGCTATAATACTTACGCTCAGCTGAAAGTTGCATCAGCTATTATACAGCTTAAGAGTAACAGTTCCCAGGGAGTCTGGCTGCATGTCAAGCTTAGGCAAGTTCGGCAAGTGTCCTTAAACAAGCAGCAGTGCGCGGGCTCGCTAAACCAAAGCTACGTGTGGGGAACGCGTGCAATGGAAGGTTAGCAATAGTAGCGGGCTGGCATTAAGGAGAGCAAGGGATCTGCGAAACACTCTTTCCTGTGGAAGCTCTACAGATCTTCACGTTCTGCTATATACTGCTGACAGTGCTGACCGGCCGGCCAAAAATCTGTACATCAAAAACAACAGCATGGGAAACGAACAAAGGCTTTTCGAAAGCGATTAACATACGGATGGCGGCTTCTCCCCAAACAAAAATGCTGAGCAAACAGTCTAACCACTTATACGTTCTTTATATATATAATCTAAATTTTATACACAAAAAAGGGCAGGAAAATATCATGCACACAAAAGGATGATAAAGTTTAAGCAAAACAATTCCGTTTGGCACTTCTGTTGACAGACCAGTTGGCGTGGAGCTCACGGGGCGGAGGGAGTGATTGCTTGCCACCTCAGCTGGTACGGCCATAAGGACAGCGATGACAAGACTGAAAGGTGGCAGCCGTAGCTAACAGCTTCCTGCTGACAGACTTGTGCTGATAGCAGAAAGCCCACAGGGAACTGGAAGCTGCAAACTCAGCAACAACACGCTTTCAAATCTCGCCAACATCCTCAGTTTATGCAGTGGGGCAGTGGTAACAACAGGGGGCCCTGTGAGTGTCCCCCTCCCCGTCCAGACCACTGTTTGTTCCTGGGCCTCCCAAAAATGGGAGTTTAAAAGTGAACGAAAGACTCCACCAACAAACCCAAGAGGCCCAAGTGCCTCATCTCGGCACTGCCACCGAGATCCACACTGCCCCCCCCACCTCAACGTTAACAAACCTCATCTCAAAACGTAATAAAGTGCTCAGAGGAAACTCGGCAACAGAATATAAACAAAAAGGTTTATAAGTACAAAAAAAGTAAAAATTACTTACTTAGTTAAGCAGTTACCTTTCTAGATGTTCTATCTACCACACAATCCAAACACTAGGGTGAGTCTGAGGGACACAGTAAACTGTTTAAAAAAAGTTTAAAATTCGGTCTACATAAGATAGTTCTTCCCCTTTTAAAAAAAAAAAAAAAAAGTCAAAATAGAGATTTGTTGTATGTGCTATTGTAAAGTACCAATTATAATTCAGGGATTTTTAGTTTCCATTAATTACAGAAATCACAGACCACTGTGTTGTCTGACTGGGTGTGCCACCTGTGGCAGTACTTGGTCCTGTTTTTTTTTTTTGTTTTTTTTAGCAAGTTCAAAAGATACAGGAGTCAGTATCTGGAGGTTTTAAGGGGAGAGAGAATGTGAATTCTGTGGGCTGGCAGAGTGTGTAGCTTGTGTGGGAGTGCAAGCGAGCAGTCCCTCCATTCTCAGATTCAGTATTTCGGCACTTTAGTGTAGTCTTCCTGGTGGACACTCTTGCATAGGCACAAAGACAGGATCATCCCCAGCAGCTGGAAGGGACAAAAAAAGAGTCAGGACACAGGGACTCTGATCCAGCCACTACCGGTGCATTACTTTGAAAGTACTGCTTAGTACACCGGGCACAATGTGAGCCAGATGATGGAGAGAAAAAAAAAAGAAAGACGACATGCGAGACTACAGAAGAAGTCTCATTTTCCCCGTTTTACTGCTCTCATTACCTAAACAAGTGGAGAAACCAAACATTATCATTTCCTCTGCACACTCACACCTGTGTGTGGCTCAAGTTACAGACAAGATCTATCCAACGGCCATAGTTGAGGCCATTGGAGGATAAAGTCTAATCAGGCCAGAATTCTTCTTTTTTTTCTGGCACTGGAGACCAAAAGCAGAGGTCCAAGCTCCGCAATACCCCCAAGGTAGAGTAGAGTGTCACAAGCATACAGAACATTAGAGATCATGATGGCGTGATCAAAGTACCTCAATGAAAGCTACTCCTGCACAGATTCCCAAAATAACTCCAATGTTACTGAAGAGCCAGGTCTCCACACTGTAGATGCAGCCCTAGAGACAAGACAGAATAAGTGGAAGACTGATTTAAAAACAAATGTACTCCACTGACCACCACTTTAAAGTCAGATTAACTTATATGCAATCTAGAACGTAACCTGTCACCGGAAAAACCATTGAATACTATGCATAAAATTACAATTTATTGTGAGTGATTAGAATGATTTCAAGTTGGTTTGAGGCATATGGATCATACTCTAGAACCAATGTTTATTTCTATAAACAAGGTGGAAAAGTACCACAGAACATTTTTTCATAAAACCCGAATCACAAGTTATGTAGAGCACTCAAAGGAGCCCTACCTTATCATAGATAGTCCAGTTTGCGGACATACTGTCACAAAACCCAGTCTCTTCCTGGGAGTTATTGTAACAGGAACAGGGGTACAACCTCCGTGTAGCGTTCTTGTTCACAGAGTTCTCAGTCCAGTTACTAGGTCCAATCCAGCCACAGCATTTGACCTGTAATAAATAAATCAATATCTAAATAAATCAATATCTTAAGAGAATTAGAGAAATTACACAGAAAACAAGTTGGGCCATTGATCATTCATCGATAAATTTCCTCAAAACAAAAACAGGCAGTCGGGGTGCCTGAACACCAGCTCTGACTGATGAAAAAAAACCTTCCAAAGGTTGGTAAGTGTCATTCAGAACAGACTATCTGCATTTTCCGTTTCTCTTTGGACATCTTCCAAACAGTCTTCCAGTGAATACTTCTCAGTGTTGGTGATATTTTCATAGTTTGAGGCATGTTCATTTTCGCTTTGCACCGTCTGCTGGACGCAAATGCCTCTACACCCCATTGAGAGTTAATGTGGTCCCCTGCAGGCACACACACTGACTCACTGTGCAGGCCTAAAGGAACAACCTGTTTACACACATCACGCACAAGGTGAGGCCTGTCCATAAAGCAGCCTTTTGTTGGTAGCAGCTGCCTACATTCTATTCACTCTGCATAATATTTCTAACCCTATGTTTTCTAGCTCTGAACTTATAGGCCCAACCTCAGCAATTTATTGAAGACTTAAGTCTTTCTCTTGAAGACTGTTTGGACAAGGACTAGGAAAGTAGCTCAAGATTTTCAAGAACTAGGACTAGTAATGGGGGCAGTGTGTGACTGAGGGTTAGAACTCCTTCGCTGTCATCGGATGGTTCCTATGGTCGCCAGAGATGTCACTGTTGGACATTTGAACAAGGCCCTTAACCCCAATTGCTCCAAGGACTGGTTGACCCTGCTTCTCAACTGCACGCTGCTTCAGATAAAACCGTCTGCTAAATAAATGATTGTAAGTGTAAAATTAGTGTCCCATGGCTGCAAAAAGCCAGTTTACCAGTCACCTAAGGCCACGTCCCCTGGGACACCAAGAACCCTACAAGCAGTTAAATCAAGGCACAAACACACATGACTCACATTCGTGGACTTCAACTGTCAAATTTGGCTTTAAGCTCACTATGAGACTTAAGGCCACTTTGAAATCCTGATAATGGATAACCTTCTTCACAATAAATTTTTTAATAATCTTCAGTCACAACCTACTGCATACACCACTGACTGGTCTTTTCATACCCAAAGATTGGAATAGATAGATGCTAGGTGTGTGGGATTTTCCTAGGGTTTAAATAAGCACTGATGAAAGTTGGTTCTGTTGCGCATGCCAGCCCCCACAGGCCTCGCTTCACTACCTTTGCAGGCTGGTGCTTGGCTCATTGTCACTACATGCGGAGTCCCACATAAACCACATCCCATGATGCAACACTGCACTCCCCCAGTGGGGCAAAGTGCACCTCTGAAGTACACAGCTTCTTGGCTCACCGTCCTTTGGATGTAGTCCCAGGCCTTATCCGTGGTCTTGTTTTTCCCCGTGTACTCCACGATAATCTTGTTGACGATGCCAGACAACTCGTTCTTCAGCTGCAATGAAGTGAGAAAACGAGCCGACGAGTCATTTCCCCGATACAAGAATCGGTGGTTTCAGTCATATCGTAAGCAATACTAAAAGCAGAAGTGCTTGCGATGAAGCGGAATACAGGAACAGGAATGAAGCCGGCAGATGTGCCATCAGATGAGCTATCTAAAGCACGCGACTATATGTGTGTGCGAAGGGAGAGAACACGGGAACGAGAAACACCGGGATGGCGTGGGTTACTGGCGCGATCCTGGGAAAGGGCATGGCTCTGTGCATTCGGTAACCCAACACTGAGGACATGTTTTCACTTGAGGTGGCTTACATGACAGCCTCACTGGTCCATCGGGTAGAACATAATGATGCTTTGTATTAGATCATCCTTAGAAACAATCAACCAGAAAACTTCAATCGCTGAAGCAATCTGATAGCTGTACTCACAAACAAACCAGAGGGTGAGCGTTAGAGACGCAAAGACCTGCAATCGCACCCCTTCCTGTCACACTGCAGCCATTGGCCTGCAAAGCACTTGTACGTCAAAGAATGAGTCACACGGCTATCGGCAAAACAAATCAAGTAATACTGGCGGGACAGATCTTCTTACTGCCTGCTGCTCAGTGCAATGAAGTTGCTTAGAGAAGAAACTGGACAAGCAGCTGAGGAAACAGCACCTACTCCGCAGCCTGCAGGCCCAGTAAACAGCCCAGGCAGCTGTGGCTAGTGCTGCCTGACCCTCCATCATGGAACATAAACAGGGGCCGCCGGAGCCGCCGGAGCCTCGGGGCCTCGCTTTGTGCGCCGTCCAGGACCACAAGCTTCCCACCGGAGCTCCTGGGAGGGGGGGGCTACACCGCCACATACCCTGTGGGTGACCCAGCCTTGTCAGACTCCTGGCTCCTCTACACTTTCTCGTTCTGAGGCCTACATGGCTACAGCACAGTACAGGGAACTTGCTCTTCCAGAGCTAGAATCCAGGGTTGCTCAAGGCGATGTCAGTTCTAGTTCTAGAGCAGCAGGCTACCAAGCAGGAACAGAAAGATCCCTGCTAAAGGGCACTTATGTTCCTTAAATGTATGATGAAAACATGCTGAATTTGTGAGGACACCTCCCCACACAATTACAGGCCTTACACACACGCAGGTTGGTAATTATATCTTTGTGGGGACTTCCCATTCATTTCTATGGGGAAAACCCTAATCCCAACATGATGACCCTAAACCCTACCCAGCCATAACTTTATCCATAAGAAACCAAACAAAATAAGACTTAGTTTTTTGATTGCAATCACAGATCTTTGTGGGGACCTGAAAAATAGTAACAGGTTTTAACCTGGGGTGAAGCGCTGGCGGGTGGCAATGCAGTGCAGATTGTTCCCACACCTGCGATAACCATTTCGCTGTGCGCCTCTCGACACAGGGAGGGGGAGCATTTGGTCCCAACAAGGTGATATACACATTATCCACACACACACCGACACACTAACCCTAACCTAAAAAAAACCAAACAGCGCAACTCCACTACGAAACATTCTACCTCACTTCCTTTCCTAGAACTCACATCGACGCTTGTCCCTTCCCCAGTCCATAGCCACGTGTCACGATGAGCGAAGTGGCCGCAGGGTACTCACCAGGTCCTGCTGGAAGTAGATGAGCACACCAGCTGTCACTTGGGCAATGAGAATCAACAGCAGGCAGGTAAAGTACTGTGGACAGAGAGGATGGGGGAAATTCACATCAAGAAACCAGTGAGGACTCCAGTGAGGCTCACAGTAACAATTCCCAGCTCCTGAAAGGAAGAGGGCTTCAATCTAACATCTAACTCTTCCACTTTCATGTTGAGACTCACTACCACATAGGACTTGCATTTACACTGATGTCCTGGTGTTAATAAAAGGTACAGGAATACATTTAGCATGGCATGGTATTTTTTTCTCCCCTCCAGAGTGGCCCTGAAGTGCAAAACACATTAAAGAAAGAAAAAAAAACACACACACAACGCTTAAGAAAACATGAAAGGCAATTTCTCCTCAATGTCTTTGCATTTTCTTAATATGCGGCGTTCTGTACATCAAGGCTGGCTGACTTTTTCCAAAATGGATGTGCTCCCAGCCACCAGTGGGAAGAAAAACACTGAGGAAACAATTGTTTTTCTTTTTAAATGTTTTTCATTTTTTAAATGTTTTTCGTGCCTTCTTATTGCGTTTTTTGTTCATTGTGTTTTGCACCAAACCCCTCCCCCAAAGCCTGCAGGCATGTGACTGAAGAAGCAGAAGACGAGGTACACAGATGGTGCTCTTCGCGATTAAACTGGGACAAGCACAGTCACATGTCTGAGCCAGTTCCCCCGCACACATATTTCGAATGCCCTCAGAAAGCATCACTCCTAGTGCCAGCGGGGACACCGGCATTACGTAACAGTCCCAATAAGTTGTACTGCTTGGCATTAAGCTTGAAGATCCTTCGTGAGAAGGTCCTATTCTGGTTTTGGAACATGCTCCGTAACGTTTACAGGACGACTGACCAGTCCCAGCAGGAAGCGGATCTCGTAGATGGCTCCCAAGCATCCGAGGAAGCCCATGAGAACGGAGAGGGAGCCAACGCCGATCAAGATGTAGGACGCCACCTTGAGACTGGAAGAAGACTCCTCTGCAAGAGAGTTCAGAGAGACGGGATGTGGCTTTGACTTCCTCTAAACACTACGCTCTACACATATGGCTCAGTCACTTTTAGCATCAAATGCATGTTTATTTTGACCAGGTGGCAGCAAGGAGCGTGTGCAATGGAAAGTGAGGATCTCAAGACTTTCATAGGCTGACTCTGACGAGCTGTTGTGTGTGTGTGGTACAGAAAGCTAGGTCTGGAATGACAGACTTCCTTACTCCTCGTGGAAATCACAAACAAAGCAAGTTACAGTCAAAGAATTGCGAATATCAGTCACCTGAATGCTGAAGGGTCACCTTTGAATAAGACAATGTGCTTGAGCCATGTAGGGGTGTCTATTAATGAATACATTGCATCCCACCTGTGACAAAAGCATTACCCCGGCAACCAAATGCATACACCCACCAAACAGACTGTCTAGCATACTGATTCACAGATTTGGCGGCACCATTCACCTACCGCTGGCCCATGACGCCTCAAACCTCAAATCCCATGCGTCAGCACGTGCCTCAAGTACAGTTGGTATATGCTTAGCAGCGAAAATACAGTTTCGTAAGTGATGCTGCTAATGACACCTCTACAGCTGCCGACCCGTCAAAACGCAGTGTGAATGGGCCATGATCATATCTCACACATACAAACAGGCACATTAGGAGGAAGCTACGCTATTGGTTCTAAGACTTTTTCTGGAGGCCTGGGTACTTACAGCCATTTACACAATAAATATGACATATGGCTGGGTCCAAAAGGCTAAGACCACTAGTGAAAATGCATCTCTCTAGCATTTTTTAAATTATTGTTGAATACAAGTTATATTATCTCGAGTGAACAGTTGAATCTTGTTGAAAAGTTTAGATTTAAGAACATCTTACTATTGTCCTCCCCATTTGCTTTAATAAAAATATGCATGCAGGCTAGCCTAGCCTCCACAAATTTGTGATCCATGATTTGAGAATGTTCCAAAGATCACCCTGTGATGTCACTGAATGCCTGGCTAGGTCATGTAACTGTGGAGGAAGTCCATGACAGTGTGTACTTGTTCCTCTTAGATCTTACAAAGCTTTGAGGTATGTTTGGAGTCACTATCCTGATGCAGTGTGAATCCATTACTACAAAGATCCAAAGCAGAGTGTATAGCGTGTCTCAGAAGACCGGAGTGGGGGGGCTTTTCTTTGTCAGATTCGGTGCATGTGTCCAACTTCTGAGGTGGCAAAACACCCCCAGACTTGAATATTCCGACCACCAAGTTTCACTGTCAGTTTGATACACTGCAGTATCAATCTCCTCCTTGTCATGTCTTTGCAGGATCCCTTTCGTTACAATAATTCGCAAACTTGGATTCATTATGATTAGGACTTTTTCCAGTGATCCACTGTGAAATCCTGCTGTGACTTAGCACATGTCAAAACTTTTTTAAATTATAGAAAAAAAGTTACCAGATTTTCACTATGGTCTCATGGACCTTTCTGGACCCTATTGTACGTACAACAAACAAACAGTAGATAAGCATAAGCAGACCGGCAGACTGAGCCCCATGCAAATAGAGTGTGGGTCTGAGTAAAACAGTTAGTAAAAAGGAGATCTGTATATCAGCCCCCAGAGTGAGGCACAGCAGGGGGGGGGTAGCCAATAAGAGCTTTCCATCTCTGTTCCACTTGTTCCTTGTACGGCTATATGTAGAAAACACTTTGACAAACTTTCCGGCTCAGAACCTTCCTCCATATCTCTCCACCTAACATCTGTTTTTCCGCGCTAAGAACAAAGGAGGTGACGCACCCCCCCTCCACCACTCCCACCTGGGGTGAAGCGCTGGCGGGTGGCAATGCAGTGCAGATTGTTCCCACACCTGCGATAACCATTTCGCTGTGCGCCTCTCGACACAGGGAGGGGGAGCATGACCACGCTGAGCCCCACAATTCCACTGGAGGCACCCCCTCCCAAAAGACGACACCCTGGCAGAATGTCCCCTGAGCTGATGGCTTTGCAACAACTGAGATGATAAAGAATAAAGAAAAGGCTAATAAAATTCACAGATTTGGCGACAAGGCGGACGCCAAAAATGAAGAAACGCTGCTAAAAGAAAAAGAGAAAATAAAAATGGACAATGGGGGCAGTGAAGGGGTGGGGGCAAAATTTTCTGACAATGTATCCACCTACCCCCTGTAGCAGTGGTGTCTATAAAAAACTGTCACCAAAACAAAGTTGGGGAAAGACCTTGAGAGGACAAAAGCTCAGATCCTGTTTGACAAAAACAGCCTGATAAGTGGGAGAGACGTCTTTCAGGGTTCAGCAGCAAGCAGGATCGCTCAGGTCCGGAAAGTACAAATCCAGACCAAGATTTTGTTTCAACCAACTAGCTGAGTATAAACAGTCACAGTCACAGAGTACTCAGCTGGTTGGTTGGAACAAAATCTTGGCCTGGATTTGTACTTTCTGGACCTGAACTTTCCACCTCTGGTTATCAACATGTTGTACAAGACTGGGGGGGGCGGCTGTCTACAACCAGATGGAGGCTCCAGCCAGTCGGGGCAGAGATCTTCATGTGGGGATAAGAAAGTGCTAGAATAGACCTATCTCAGGAAGGATGGGATGATAACATTGGGATCTGGGAAGTGGCCCGCCAGAACACGTTACAGGTGGCCCAGCCGTGCTCATGTCCCTCTTTGGATCAAAACACTTGCATGTCATGTATTCTACACGCTTTACCGTTTTAAACATACTTCAATAATGAGAGGATTGGGCCATGTGACTGGATGGGTCCCTTTATCTGAATACATGAACAACGGAGACACCTGATTGGCTGACTGCGCGACAGTCAATACTGCGAGGTGGAAATGGTGTGACAAGGTTGTGCGAGTGGTGAGCTGTAACTGGTGTGACTCAACACACTGCAATGAGGAACTGCTCAGTGCCGCAATACGTGGTCAGACAGTTAAAAAAAGAAACCCAACAGCTCCTACAAGCAGGTAACAGGAGAATGAAGTCTAAAAGTACACCGGCTGTCAGACATTAGGGTAGTTTCAGGTTTCATATTCACACAGACATGTTTAAACATAATTCAGGCTAAATGTACCGTGTGCAGTATTCAGCGAAAAAAGGACCACATTACAAAACTCCAAGTTCAAGATGAGTGTCACAATACTGGATTTGGCCTCAGACAAAAACTTCCAGTTTTTCAGCAAGGAGAAATGCATGTACGCACCTCTACCATTAAATGACTCCATGCATAGATTTGCATTCAGCTTTAAAAATAAAAAAAAAAAAACATCTCCTCGTCGGAATATCTGCTCTATACACACTTCCTCTGCTGGTTTTTAGACCCGGCCGCAAAAAAGCTTACTGTGGAACCAGCAGCTGCAGCCACAAACAAGCACTTACGCAGAACGGCGATGAAACTCTGGTTGTCCAGGAGAACCCAGAGCCCGAATCCCAGGATTAGCAAACCGAAGAGCTGGAGAAAGCCAGAGAGAGTGGGAGAAAGAGGGGTCATGTTACACACAGCAGAGCGCCGAACGAGGAATGAGGCCAACAGTAAATACATGTGCGTGTGCACATGACACAAACATGTTTCAGCGCAGCACGGCTCTCTAACCACAGTAACAGCCCAGGGTGCTGCCCTCAGACTGGAACCTCACTCTGTAGGGCTCCAGAGGATGCAGTCCAGGACACGTGGAGGATTCTCCTCTACTTTTTGTTAACCCAGATCTTTTTGTTGAGAAAAGCTCAAATTATCTGCTGGCTTGTGCAACCTTTCAGCTTGTGATGTAGACAACAGGTGAGGTCACAGCTGTCGAGAGTCAAGCAGGCCACAGTCTCCTGAGATCACTTAAAGCCCAGCGACAGCATGGTGGGGGGGATCCAGATGCTGGTGAACGCCTACAAGGATGCAGATCGCCATAGCTGTGGGGCATCCCGCAGCTCCCTTCCCACCCCCCATGTAATTGCGGATGGAGAGATCACAAGGAGTTTTCCGGAAGAAGTCCTACGACGTCTTTAGTCACCGGCCAGTCGGGCGGCAGTCAGAACTTCAAAAACTTTTAATGAGGGGCAGTTTCCTCATTCATGTCACACTTTACCCATTAAGCATCTATGATTCATTACGGGCACCATCCTAAAACACACTTCTTTTAATTTAACGCGCCATAGGTGTGTCTGGGCTTTGGAGTGACGGCAGGGGTTCAGGAGACAGATCCGGCCTCGTAATCTGCCAGTCAGCAGGGTTCTGGATGCACCAAGCGTTTTCAACGTGGCGGCTTCCTGTGCCCTTTCAGCTCTGTGCTCTACTCCACTTTGTCTGCCTTCCTGTTTGTTTCGATGCGTGTTGTGGTGTGCAGGGATGGGCGACAGCTTAGTAAACAGGCTCAACGAGGTTTGCATCATCAACGATGTGGGTGTGTGGAGGGCAAGGAAGGTCATTTTCATTATGAGGCGCTACACACTTCACACTTTAACCCTCAAAAAGAGATCCAGCCACTTCCTCCAGAACTGCAACACCTTTGGAAAAGAAAAGGCTCCGGTACACAAAAAATGAAGCCGTGTGTCTTGCCAGAATTTTCCAACAAGTAGCAACAGCCCAGAATATTCTTGTGATTTTTGGAACAGTACACCTTTACTAATAATTAAAAACAGTATGACAGTCATAGACCAAATAAAAATCATACTATATATATATATATATATATATAGATCTATATCTATATATCTATTTCTTCACCAGCTCATATACTTCATTTGTTGACAAAAGAGTGATGTATTGATTAGCTATACGAGGGGTGAAAGTGGTCGAGTCAAAAAATACATGGATGTATTTGATTGGTTGCTGGGGTGATTTTAGCAGAAGGTTTGAAATGGCAAAGCCGACACACTTTGACAGGCATAATAGCATAGTTTTACACCAACATCATCATTTAAACATCATTTACTTTATCTGCCTTTTTTCCCCCCTCTACAGTTATGCACACACACACACACATTAAATCAGGCATATGTACTAAATACATGACTTACGAAGAAGAGGAGGTTGAAGAAGAACAGGATGTATTTGGTCACTGCAATGCAGCCCTTCCCCATGGCTCTGACTCTGTTAACAAGAAAGCAGACAAGAACCTGAACAAAGCAGATCAAATTGTGGCCTGTGGATCAAAGCACATGGTCACCACGCCAAGCCCCGCGGTCCAGCTCGGCAATTAAGGCATGCTAAGCAGCGTTTCCTCTAGGTTTACAGCTTGGGGGGTGGGGGGTGGGGGGGCAGACGGACACCGACAGGATTCAAGGTGTTCATGTGTTTCTTTTAATGACAGCAGTCAATATAACAGCTGAACTAAACATCATAACATTTCTTTTCATGACAATTATCCACAAAGTGTGCAGCTTTGGTCACTGCAGTGTATCTTTCTGGAAGAACATTTCTAAAGCCTCTTGACATGGGAAGTCAGAAACGTCTGGCCCGTTTACTGAGATCCGCATGCAGGCTGCAAGATGGTCTCCCTGCAGCCTATTGCGGATGTTTGTCTTGACCTGCAAATACATTAACTGTTAGGCTTTAAAAGTGATAGCTGATAGCTTAAAATAGTGAAAGTTTAAAGTGGGAAATCCCATTGTGAAACATATTTATTACCCTGTTCATTTTTGTCTGCTTTTCAGGTGGTTGACGCAACATATTTTCCGACGCGCGCTCTCCGTCCGCTGGTGGGGGTGTGCTCACCTGTGTGTGTGTGCACATGTCTGTGCGTGCGCATCGGGGCGGAACTCCGGCATGTGCGATACAGAGAGCAGAGGAGAATCGTAAACGCGCGACCGTGTAGAGGCAGAAATGACCAGCTGTTGTGTAAATAAGATAAATAACATAAGGCTGCTTAGTTTGTTTAATAAAAGGACAATGTATAGAGCTGTTCTATAGGAAAGGTAACCTTAAATGGCTTCTGTTGTGATCTGGCGCTATATAGAAAATAAAATTAAATAAAATTAATTTGACCTTCAAGGGGGGGGCGGGAGGTGCCGTTGGGGGGGTGGGGGCCCCCCTAATATAATGGTAGGGGAAACACTACCAACAGCCACGACACTTCGCTATATCGCTTGTGCAACGCTGTCTGCCTCCAGACAATGTTTCCACACAATCTCGAACACGATCAGGACTTTATATGTCTTTCGCACATGTAGACTATATAGTATGAAGCACCTGGCTTCATTCAATGATCTGTTACTCCATCCATTTTTAGTAACCATTCATCCATTTGGGAGCCTTGGGATGCCAGACCTTAACACTTCATTCCAATAAACAGACCACAGGAGACCAGCATTTCTCCTCACAGCTGTGGGAAATTACAAGCCCTTGCTTTGGCTCTGGCGAAGCCTAAATTCTTTTACAGCCTTAATACTAGTCTGCAAATCACACTCCCAGGAAGCTAAACCCACTCTCAAATTCGAACCTCATCCAAAACCGCTGAAGCAGACTTCCTGGAAGGTGAGGGAGAGATATCTCCCCAGCAGTGCACTGCCATAAATGACAGTCCTGATCCATACTGCGGTCCCAGTAAGTGGGCCATTGTTTCTGGCTGGCCTGTAGGGGGCACAGGCGTCACATGTGCAGTCATGCCTGCAGAGAACGGGCCGGCTATCGATCGAAATGGAGGCCATAACGATTTGACTAGTCATTAGGTACTGGCTGAGACCAGGTCTGGTGTTTGTTAGACTGCACAGAAATGAGGCCTCTGCAGAGGGTGGGGGGTATACTGTTGGAGGGGGTGGGGGTGCATTCATGTCTGTGGTGGTCGACCACAAATACACAGCACCGTTAGGTATGGCTGGAAAGAATGCCAATTCCAATACGTTTTGTGATCTGACTTTTATTATTATATATATGTTTTAAGTGTTAGCAACACAAGTTGTGTACCAACTACATCATAACGGTGTAAGCTGTTAATACAGACGATCCTCTACTTGCGAACGAGATACGAACATTTCAAGTTATGAACGGCCGTTCGGAACGTAAGTCGTAATTCAACATCATTTTAAGGGTTTAAGCAAGTACTAAGAACTAGGATGCTGGGAGTACGCACGCTACTCTGCTGCACGGCGGGAGTAGCGGCCAGAAGCAGTACTAGGCGGAATTGTAATGCAGAAAAAAAAGATGATGTTGCGGACAGGAAACGGGAGCCCAACGAACACAATTTGGACTTAAAGTCCTCTTCGTTCGTATGTCTAAAAGTTCGTAAGTTGAAA